TAACTTGAACGTCCTGGGTCACCATGTTATATTACTGATGCAGCATGAAGGTTTGAACTCATTTAATTCAAGTAAAAAACAAGTCTGGTTTACAACGAGTGAGACTGACCGTAATGGCTGCCGCCAACAACAACCTGGGTCATAGGTCATAACAGATATAGTACTCTCTGTCAAGAGAGGGCGCACTACTACAGTTACTATACATATGTGATATTATAACAACGACTGACGGATATGAGAGCTTATAAGGGTGACCTAAATATTCACTGTTTGGAATGCCGTCGTTTATGGAATGTGCATGTGGATATCATGGATGAAAGGTTCATGGCGTACCAAGCCACACGAGGCCGGCAACTAGTAACGATTCCGGTATTCTGATTGGTCCATCATTTTCTCGTTGCTTGTTCTATTTTCTTTGGTTACCTGACGTCAGCCCCGGGGGGCTACTTCCACATTAAGTGGGTAAGGGTGTGCAGCCCACCTCTCGTAAACCATACTCACTTCTAAACCATTGTTTTTCTATTTACATACCCACTTCTAAACACAAGTGTTTTCAGTAAAAAACAAAACACCCAGCTTACAACTTTCGCAACCAGTGAGCGCATCCGGGCGATGCATTTTCCGGTATTTGGCTTTGAATATAAGGACCTGTGAAAAGTAAATAAATGCTACACACTTCTAAACCAAACCATTGATAAATAACCACCTACTTCTAAACAAAATAACGTGAAATGACACCCCAGTCGGGCGGCACATACCCATATTGCACTTTTATGCAAATAACCCCCCCCCCCCTCGGGACGTCAGCGCTCTTTGGCTCGTGGCCGTTCAAGGGTTTCCTTTTACTCTCGAAAGTTGAGCGAATAAAAAACTATTTCTGTTTGCACAGAAACAGCGAGGAATATCAGAAACATCTCAAATATGTAAGTCTAAACAGGCAGAATGTATGAGCATGGCTGAATTGTAGTATTACAGACACGTTTACGCAGAACACGGAACTTGTAATGTTTTCAAATTACGTCACTCGGTCACGTTCTTTCCGGCCGGAAAACCTGCCCAGTGGAACAACATGGCGATTACTAGTTCCCTGCGTCCTACTTGCCAACTACTTCGCAAAGAACGCCATGAACCAGTGAATGGTGCGCCATGACACTTGAGGTGGGAACCAGCCAATGACTGATGTTGAACGAGTCCGCTGGGGGCGCTGTACAAGAAAGCACAAGATAAATAACTCTAGGGGGGGGGGGCTACCTGCTTCAGGAACCAAATTATCGATAATTTATTACAGTATGTTATTACCTGTATACACATGTGGAACAACCGACAACTTTGTAAATGTAACAAATCTATATTTAGCAATAAAAGGTCAAATAACTGGGTTAATCTAAAGATTATCACATGATCCCAATAACGTTTATCTTTCATGGCTGTTTCCGTCACAGCAAGTTGAATGGCTACTCCTAGGCCCCGGGGGGTCACCCTATGTTAAAACCTTACACCATGTGCATTCTTGCTAAAAAAATAATAGGCCCCTAGGGCTGGCAGCACATTGGCAAACCATACCCCCTATTGCGGACGCAATGTAAATTTAGTACCCCCTAGAGCAGACATATTGAAGAAAAAACACACCCCCTATTGCAGACATAAATTGAGAACATCCTGCCCCATATTGCGATCATTCTCTGCCGTTTTTGCACTCAAGTGGAGTGTGATCAACTTAAACAAGCTACTAATGGTTGCTGTATATGCTACCCCTGTTGGTGTCATTCGTTGTTTTATGGGTCCGCAAATTCGGGGCCTAGGGAGGTGTATGGGAGTGGTTGTTACGAGAGGAGGCCTACAGCGGGCACGGCAACCCTGTGTGTTTATTCCTGGGGGCCTATTGCAGACATTAGCATTTTAAAGAGGGCATATTTACCTCCCGCGCGGGCCCGCTTTCGAAGGTGAAAAACACCGCCCTTTCCCTCTAAATTTGGAACGCACATGGGGTAGTAACGGCATATAGAGTGACCCCCTGGGCTCCTAGGCAAGTAAAAAGTACTTGAGTGGTTCGACGTTTCCCCCATGTACAAACATCTCACCATGTGGCCTTGCACAGTGGTAACAACACTCACTAAAATTCTATAAATTGCTTCCTGCTCCCTCCATGTTGAGCTTTTTCGTGCTTTCGCAACAGGACTAGTTACCCTGCGAAACACAGTTATCGTAACCAAATCAACGCTTGCACGATGTGCCAAACACTCTTACCTTGATTTATAACAAAACAAAATTCTGTTAAATCCTGTCTAACATTGTTAGCTACATATGCAGCCGAACTAAATGAGTCCCCTGCTCCTAATCCATCATCAAGGTAAACTACAATCAACTTGCCCTTCCCTCTCCAGTTTTCCATTAGCGATTGACAAGCTTTGTAAACACATAAGGACCAGATGATAAACCAAATGGTAACACGCAAAATTGAAAAATTTTACTCACACCCCCGAAAATCCAAGAAAAACCCAGAAATCGCATTTGATCTGGAAAGATTTCAATGTGGTGGTACCCTGATTTCAAGTTAAATTTAAACATAAAATCCTCTGGGTTCAAATCTAAAATAAGAGTGCCTTTCCGTCTTGATTTACCGACACGGAAAGAGGATTTGAAATGTATGGTTTACCATTTAGCTCTTCCACTGCCCCAGGAACCAGTAAATTTGCGATTTCCTCGAGCTCCTCGACAAAACTATGATGCAGAGCGATTATTGCGTGAAAAAGATGGCGGAGGCAAATCTAAAAGCGGTAATTTGTAGCTGAGTCTCCATAATAGAATAAAACAATGCAGCCCACAGAAAACAACAGTCCGAAAAGCAGATAAAAAAATGTAGATGTTGTTTGTCCAGTAGCAGCGCGTAGACTGATTTCTCCAGCCTGTTATAGCGCCCCCTAGTGACAAAAAACAATAATTCTTCCCGATACCATGTACCGTGAGAAATTTCATTTTTACCGTAATTGGACGCAATTTGAGTAGCGCTACCAACGGAACGAATACACGTTTTTATACCAGACGCCACAACTCGGAAATCTGGAATGATTACAACACACTAGGGACTATTTTCTAGTCTTTAAGTAAAACTTGCAAATACAATCAGTCAGTTAGCCACGGACATAAGCAATTAAATTCATACACCCTTGCGGTATTTTTCTGGACGGTAAGTATCATTTAATTAACGGCACTAACTAGTACTAATTTCCACACATGCCAAAATATGGGGTCAATCTGATTAAAATCCGATGTTGGTATGAGGCTCCACATTTTTTTTTACTAGAGTAGTTAGAGGCGATCGGGACACGATTTTCTAACAACTGATTAACGACACGTAAAGCTAAAAATCTACATATTCAAACAAAAATACAAATAAATATTAAACAAATAAATAAATAAAATTGGTTTATATTTTGGAATGACAAAGAAATCATACCATGCGTCGGAAGCTGTAATAACCACTTATTATGTCATGTAAACGATCGGTCCATGAGAGTATTGTGAAAATGACTGTTTACAAAACCACAATTGAGCTCGTAGTAGTGATATCCATTTAACAATATTTATTGCCACCTTGAATTTTAACCACAAAGTGTAACAGTTGCAAATAATTGAGAATAAATTTGAAAAGAGTAAATTGGGCATAAAATTATGCCTCAGGTGAACTTGGTTTAATGACCCCCTGAACTTTAGTCTTATTAATGAGCAGAGACGTTGCGTTGGTTTGTCTTTGAGGTACTCAATCATGTTATGGCGAAAACGGACGATGCATAATTGTGCTTGAATGTTGAAATTGTGATGTTAAAGTATAATTATCGATGTTGTATATATGGCATATCGGTATATGACCATGTCTAACTGAATACTAGTAGTTTACCCTATTCAACAGTGCGAGTCCCATAGATCAGCATATCAACACTAAACCCGCACCACTCGTATTGTCACAAAATGACAAATAACATTGTTAGGATTTTGTTCTTTTTTTACTCGGTTTGTGATTTTTTATCTTTTTCTATCCACTGAATATAAATTAGCATATCGTGACTTCGAGAACAACGTACTCGGAGAGTAAAACTTGACTGAATAAATAACGTATCACTACAAAGGGAACTGTCAGATGTCGACGTCCAAGCAGTTACAATCGATGAAATAAAACGTGTTCTTTTTTCTTCACTGGACGCACTGAACTTCTAACAGGAATGGTCACCATCCCAGGTTACTTCGATCCTTAAATACAATTTATGTGAGTATCCAATGTGAAATGGCGATCTTTTTGTTCAAGTGCAGCTGCAAAGTTACAGAAACGCCAGGTACATCACATGACCTGTGACGGTTTTCTACATAAAATAATACATTCAACAATAAGTGACCAAGGATCATCACGATTGTTGTTAGTCTGCATATTTGTAAATTCAAATTATATTTGCAACTGACTTAAATTTTAGAACTCACTTGGGGTAAAATATAAAGTGCGAAGCTAACCACGCACCACCTGTCATATTTCATCTTTCTGTTCGACGCATTAAATCATAACTTGCATGCATACTTCGACTGAAAACAAACATTGTTTTACAGCAAACACTACAAATGTTTGCACAAACATTGGTAGTTCAGCGCTTTCTATCATGTTGCTTGATGCTGCAATGAAATAGTCGATGCTGAATTCCACTGGCAGTGATAATGCCTACCATGGTGTAGTATTGGCGTTGAATTTGTACGTGAATGAGCATTCTAATTCAACTCGAAATCTCGTCTCTGTGGTGAATATGATACCGTACTGTGACTATCTGTGAATAAGTGCACGTGAATGCATAAAAGATAGAGTGACAATATAAGCCATATTTGCATATGCAATAAATTATCATTGAATGCCGATAAATGCTCCAGTACCAAATACGAGCACAATTCATAAATTTATGCCTCCTTTATTTGAGTTTGTGACCCTACGTCAAAATGCACCGCATGAGTTACATGAAATGTCATTTGGACGACAGAAGTTCTAACAACTGTTGAACAGTTTTATTGTTTGTCGCAGGCTCGGGTGAGTTTTTTGTAACCACGCTACCTGGATTAAAATCGGATGTGAATCCACCGATAATAATGTTGATTATTGTGATGACGAGCACTGTCAGTGTCGCCCAGTCGTTCATGCAATTCGCTCTGTCTCGTTCGTCGTCCTCCTCCCAGTCTACCCTTGTTCGCAAGAATAATAACATTGCCGCAACTATTTGGAGAATAATTGACAAAGAAAGCAAGGTTACCAAGAAATAATAAAAGTGTATTGCATCTGACCCGGCCAGGATGATTACTCTAAGCAATGCTGCGTTGGATGTCAGCAATGCAACATCCAAGAGACCTTGGGATACGGTTTTCTTGATAAGATAAGCGTTGACACTACCGTGCTTTCTTGGGGGGCGGTGGTTCCGTTTCGGTTCGGCTTCGGCCATGGTTTCACAGTGACTAGTTCCCGCTGGTACATCAATAAACCACCTGACTTGACTTCGAATACGACTCAATAAACTGGATGCCTCCGTTGGCTGTCCACCACCCTGGTTAGAAAGATAATGCAGTTTTACTGCCTGTGACAGCAAAAATGGCACTGGAATGAACGCGACTGGGAAAGATTCCAGGCAAGAAGCAGGTAACACTCAAATAACTCATCAAAAGTCAGTCCTCACCTCTTTCATTTGTTTCGTTCGAAATGCCTGGATTTAGTCGTGAAAAGGTATTTCACCCAATAACATATCGATATGCCCAGATTACATCGTGAATGCTCACTGCTACTTGTGCTTCAATAAGTCAATGAATCCTATTATAATTCATGAACACTTACTAGTTGCTTTCATGAATAATATCGGCTGTTGCTGTTTTTGGCCAGGTACCCCCTGGCAGTGAGTGCAATTATTTTCCAAACCAAACGGCCACACCCTGATCTCGATGTACTGTCGGAGGTTCGATAGCTTGGCTGTTCTAACTTTCTATTTCAGTGTTATCAATATGTTTTCACGAAACATACTGGTATGGCCGTATTGTTCTTATTTTGTCCGGGTAATACCAACAACATAGATATAAAATATAAACGACTGGTGAATGGTACTAAAATATAAAAGTAACCATCTGCTGGAGTTTGTACCAATATTAATACGCGTACAGTTCAACGTCGTAATTGAAATCTAAATACATATTTGCATACAGGCGCGGGGACATCAGGACAAATCAACACAAATGTTTGATTCACTTTCTGAAAACAACCTGAGAAAATACAGGTAACAATTTTGGGCACATACAAAGCTAATAACTTGGAATATATTCGATTATCTTTAAATCCGTGACTTATCTATTTTTTTTTTAATAATTTGTGCTAATACTGTAATCATATATATTAATAATATAATTTGTAATAATATAATGCACATCCAATAAGTAGCTTGATAAAACACATAATTTCTGCTGAAGCGACAGAGTATGGGACTGTGTCATCAAAGGTTTATGTGTACTCACTCGATGGTGACGTAGCAGGGGTTGTAGTTTAAGGAATGAACACACAGGATACTCTTCCTTAGCAAAAAACAATTATAAGAAAAGTATTGATACAAGCATCGCCTAGTTGTTATATGAGTTGGCTCTGTTACTTTCTAAAAATAGATGAATGTCTGTTCTTATTTATGACGATTGCAAGTTGAATGAAATTTGAAAGGGACAAAATAATTAGCAATAAATAGTTTGAGGTGATAGAAATGGCGCTGGAGAAAACAATACTGCAATAAAATAGCGTTGGACGTCAGAATCAAGAAATCTGCCAAGCCTTTCTTTGTGGCATATGAATTGATGTTTTTGATTGTCACTGACTAAGACCTCCAGTGTTTGTCTCTACTCCCATTTGGCAATACCAATGATGCACCCTTCTGTTGATCAGTCAACATAATTGACTACAAATTCTTGAACACTAACGACAATTATTTGTATAAATTCAGTTGGTATTGACGCATTTGTAAAGAAGACTACGTCATTCAGAACATAACATGTAAATGATTTCAGGTACAATCGTAAAATTAATATGTTAATGCATCGCAGTTATGCGACCCCTGCTGACCTCCTCAAACGAACTAAATGTGACATGTAATTTGATTGAATTCTCATTTATTGTACGGCGGGAATTTAAGTTTATTCAAATAGATTAATTTTATTTTTATATAGTTTTTTGATTCATATAGATTAATTTTATATAGTTTGTTAGTATTTTGTAATTGTTTTTTTTATTATTATTAAATACATTTTATTTTGTATTATTTTTACTACCTCCTTATATATCTTAAGCGACTCATATATAACGCGATTTCAACGAGATACCCTCTGACTGATTTAGTCAACCAATCATAGATCCCATTCTATAGCGCACTTGGTGACATCATCAGTCAAAAACAAGTCACAAACACACATTCACTTAATACATTACCAATAAGGTGCACTGAATCACGTGAACAAAATAATGATAATAACGGTAATATGTCCTAGAGTGTTTAAACGATCATAGAGTCAGTAGGGTCACGCCAATGGTCACGTATTTCGTTGCAGCATGGCTGTGTGATTAAAACTAAGTCATGGCGTGATACGCGAGGAAGACATCCTTCAACGCTTACATAATTACATTTGCCCAATAAAACGAGTTTGTGCTCGCGTATTACGGCGTGGCAAACATGGGAACTGAAAAACGCCTAATACAAACTTAGAGGGTTCGAATCACACTAGATGAACACCCGCTGGAATCAGTAATTTTGGCTTTCCCATTTAGCTAATTGAAGTAGGTTACAAAATGAACATCACTTAGACACCAACTCGCGTAGTACACAGGCGTACCATCCAGACATTCCCTTGAATACGAACATCTAATTACACGAAGAACATAGAACATTTTCTCGGGGTATTTTTAACCGAAATTGTCATCTAACTGTAAGGCCGTTGCTGATTGGCTGCTGAGCTGGAATGACAACATTGACGCTGCCGGTCGGCATCTTCTACACCGATCTGACGCATATCGCGCAAGGTGTGCCGGGAGTTTGTTCGAAATATCGAACGTTTCGAAGTCAATCGTCGATTGCCACGTATATTACGGATATATTAAATCGTTTCAGGGACCTGTTTACTAAATAACGATAAACGAAACTTAGAAAACTTGTAAGAACAAACTGGGCCCAAATTGCTCAAATTTGCAATAAGTTTTCGCTTCTAGTGTCTGGCTCGGAAGGCGTTCTACGCGTGATTTTATCGAGTTCAAGGACGTTCTATTTTCGAACTAGATGAAACCGGAAGTTACGCAGGTACTTTCGAACTTCAAACACAAATTTGATTATCGTTATTATGTGTTAGTTTCTGTTGTTTCAAAGATTGAATTATTTGTGACATTGGTATTTCACTCACTAAACAGTATTTCACTAAAATACGTGATTAAAAAGCAACTTAAATTGTAAAAAGAAATATCAAGTTCCGTGTATAAACACTAGTGTAAAGAGACGGCGGAGCGCTATTTTAGCCAAAATCGGCTAGTAAGGTGTCACATGACACAGGTCTGTGCTGGGACAGCGCTTCCTGTGACGACACAACGGGGATGACAATTTTTGGTTTCAAATACCCCAGGAAAATGTTCTATGTTCTTCGTGTAATTAGGTGTTCGTATTTAAGGGATTTTTCCACACAAAACCACGAATTCGGCCGAATTTTGTTATCGGTTGGCTTAATATTACCCCCAACGGGTCGTTTTTCTGTGATTGGTAGATTTGTAGGGATCTGAAAAACGTGTTTCACATCTTGTCTCTTATTTAGTTTTATGCCACATTCAAGATGGCGACCCCATATAGTAAATATCGCATTTATTGTATCACGTGTGCACCAGCTGACTGTGGATCAAAGACACTTTTCGGCCTCCTTGCGAAACAGAAACCCGCAACTGTCATTCTGTACAGCGTGTACCCTTTGGTCGTCATGGGGGAATCCGTGGAAAATCATACCTGGGTGATTTTCAAATGCTCCTAAAATACTTGTTCTACATTTTTGCGCATGATGAAAAAGTCTATCATTCCATTTAACAATCTGTTTACTTTGAATTTTCTTGGGCTATAGAGGGACGCCCGGGAGCCTTGGAAAATTAGCAAGACCGTCAGATGACCAGCCTTCCCTACTAGATATTGTAAAATCGAATAAAATGAGGAAGCGGAGCAGCGTTTTGGTCAGCCTTCAGGCACTCATCCTTCAACTTCGGACACTCAGCCCTCAACTTCGGACGCCTATCCCTCAACTTCGGACGTCTATCCCTCAACTTCGGTCGTCCATTCCTCAACTTTGGTCGCTCAGCCGTCAACTTCGGATGCTTAGCCGTCAACCTCAACCAGTGAAATCAACTTGATACCACCACCCACTGTAAGTAGCAATGCTTTTAAGGTAAGGGGTAAAGTCGACATTGGTGAGATATACCTTCGTTCGAAAACAAGTAGAGAGATTTGCGACACCATAAATACTCTTACAATAGCACAGACATAAAGCTTCCCCTGTTCACAGCAAACCACCGAATGACAAACAAATTCTGACACAGTATCTTGGCAGCTTCAATCGCAGTTTAAAATACAATTGGCTCGAGCTTCACAAATCCTGGATGATATACAACAAAAAGGTGGACGAGATATTCTGTATGCCTTGTGGGGAAGTTTGTCACCAAACCCTTTTAGAGTTTTGAACAAAAAAACGGAGAAAGTCAGGGACCACAAGACTAATTGTGCATACCACAGCAATGGAAAAGCCTACCTTGCTAAAACAAACGGTACAGCAACCAATCACCAGTATTACGGCCCAGATTGATACAAGAAATGCAGACAACATCAACAAGAACAGATAGATTCTAAAGTCTATCTCAAGTGCAGTTTTCTTCTGCGGCAGACAGTGTATCGTACTACAGGGTGACAGGGAAGATCTGGAGTCTCCCTGTAAAGCTGGAAACTTTCTATCATTGCTTATAAATTGATGGCAGTAATGAATGGAGTTCTGCAAAAACATTTGAAAGCACCTGCCATGAGATCTGCTACCAGCGTGTCGCCGCAAACACAGAATAAGTTAATTAAGGTTATAGGGAAGCACATGATCTTGAAGGACATGCTGGAAGAGCTAAACGAGGCACAGTTCTACACTATTTTGGTAGATGAAATGACTTCCCACAACACTGAGCATCTCGTTCTCTGTGCAAGATTTGTGGACATCAGGGAAGAGTTTCTCCCCTTCCTCTAAGTAGACAGAGACACAGGGAAAAGTATCGCAGATGCTAAACTAGCATTTCTGAGAGAGAACGATATCCCTGTCGATAACATGCAAGGGCAGGGGTATGACAGTGCCAGCAACATGTCAGCTAAATCTTCAGGTGTGCAGGCATGGATTAATGAGGTGGCTCCACATGCGACATATG